ATTCAATGTTTACGGATAGTACATTTCACCGTTTTCGCCCATATTGTGTAATGCATTATATTATCTGATATCTATGTTTAATTGAATTCTTTTTTTATATAAAATCGCTATAATCAATCATATGGTAGATAAAAAAGTGATGCTTTTCTGAATTCGATTAGTTACCCGAAATACTCGATTGTATCAAAAGCGAAATATTTTGAATAAGTCTCATTAAAATATCCGTCATTTACAGAGCGTTCACCAGTCACCACGTCTGTCTTCGCGCGTACACATCTCCACCTAATAATGTGCACACATAACCCATCTCAAAGTCCAAGATATAAAACGTTCATAAATATTTGAATATTTAAATGATAATATTATAAGTTCACCTTTTAAAATATTTACATCAACTAAATATGTAAATTAGCCAATATTAATTGATAAAAAAAAGTGAAAAACAGCAAATTTATCCGTTTTAAATTTGAGTGTGAAGAAATAACATAAACTGAACAATAGAACTTTAAATCTGTAATAAGAAAATAATTTTCCAAAATATCAAGTGCAAAATGTATTCACTGAGATACATCTGGTGAAACATCCTGCGGTATGTAGATGGTTTTTGAATTCTCCAAAGATACATGAGGAGTAATTATACAATATTTGTCGTAGTCGACCGTTGACACTATTTACCCTTGGGTATCATGCACACATCAGTTTAAAAAATACACCGTCCTCAGACGGCTTAAAACATTCAATAGGTATACGAATAAAAATAGAATCAAATTATTCAGTGGATAAAATTCCATTTTATTCATTAAAAACTTCAAATCAAAAATTAATACTGTGAGTTATAGTGTTGTTTTTTTTTTTAGATGACCGAAGTGCACCGGTTCATATATGCGTATTGCGTATATACGATTGGATTTATTTGGATTTTATATTTCAAAATATAATTAAATTTGGAAAAGTTAATCGATTCTCTTTGAGTAAAATAATATTTTTATTTAACGACGGAAAGGGAAAAAGTATAGATATTTATGAAACGGAAATATTACTTTTTCGTTCTGAAATAATAACCCATACATTTAAATCAGAAGGATAATTTACCGAAAAATGATTAATGAAAAATTTGTAAAAATATATAATATAAAGGCAGTAGGTACACAATTTATACCATTTGCCATTTATGTAAAAACAAGTAGGTAATAAGTACAATAGTACATTACACTAATTATGATCGTATGGCGAAATACAATAAAATTAATGAATCTAATACATTTTGGCAATATAATTAAACAATCTTGAAACCTGATAAAATATAAACCGGTAAAATACTAGATAATTTCGGTATTTTAAACTTTATAACATAGTCTTACACTCTTACAACAGATCCAAAATGAATCGATATTTTTTGTTTTTAATAATTAAATCACGTCTTAAAATAAACGTTAAATAAACAACGTATAAAATTAAAACAATCACTAGTAATATTTTAAAGTTTTAAAGCGCAGTAAAAAAAAGTTTATCTTGAACTCGTATCTTGCAATAACGTGGGCGAGGGGTTTTTCAGCTTTTTGCAATTATCTAAAAAAAATACTAGATTTTAGTGGCACAATTACTCGAAAACACAGAACAACCAACACTCTATAATTGTTATAAAATGGATAGTAATCATTTAACCTCTCAAAGCCCGTGAAATTGGATCTTATCATTAAAACTAAACGTTATGAAAAAAATGTAATTAATTGCAATTATTGTAATTATATCAATTCTGTAAATAAACTAATGAATTTTCCGAAATGTTCAGATTTAAATTATGAATACTATACTTCCGTCTTTCCAAGAACTCTTCAATCACAATTTATATAGTTAATTTCCGACATTTTGAACATACAAAGACATGAAAGGTGATATTTTCTAACACACATTCAAATTAATAAAATGAAAAACATATTAACGTAGTATAAATTAAATTGTTTTCAACCTTCGTTTACAATCTAAAAATAAATATATATTTTCGAAATTCATGATCAGAAACATTATATACCAAAAAGTAACCAAAATACTAATACTTAATACTATTTAGTTCGATATTTAATCTGGTCTTATATAAATCTATCACAATGGTTATCGTCATCCCTGATTAAAAAATTTTGGTTTCTTGTAAAGTTGTAAATGATGGTACTTTCAAACGTTTACGGAAAAAGTACTTGATGACTATAATAATAGTAATAATAATACTTTTATCGTAATATAACGACTGAAACGTTTTAATTCAACCTTATCGTTAACGTTCTCTGAACTTTTTTCTCGTGGATCACAATTCACAAACCTTCTGCCCATCCTGACGCAATACAATATACCTATATAGTAACATGGCTGTACACTTCAAATTTTACACCAGCGGGCATCAAACTTTTGTTCCTTTCTCTCTTTTTTTTATGATTCACATAATATTATAAATATGTATACATCCATTAAAAAATCTGTTAAAAAATAAATTATGATTTAAGATGGTACATTTTACTGTACGTTATCATGCCTGACTACATCATCTCCATTCAAAACCAACCTTCCCCTACAAGAAAAGAAAAGAATTGTCATCTACATTGCATATTTTAAGTACATAAAAAACTATTAAAGCAAACGTCATTGTTCAGCATGGTGCAATTAAATATAAATACCGGGTATAAGCTTAAAGTCACTATTCATTCAGGACTCAGCATTTGCATACTTGCGAATCCGTAAATGACCAATTTTTTCTTCTAAATTTTGAATTTTCTCAACATCGTTCTAAATGGAACTATAATTATTTATGAATAAACTCTTTGTAGGGTCAAATTTACACTAATAGGCAGATAATACTCATATAACTTTGTGTTAACAATGTCACCTTTTAAAATTAGTAAACATAATTATTAAAAAAATTATAGGACGTTGTCGGTCTTAAAAATATGACTTCAGTGAGTGATGCGTGATGACCGAAATAACAAAATATATTCACTGTACACATAAACGATGACGGAAGCATCCTTTACTGATATTTGATTTTCAGCTTCCCCGTGGGTATATTATCCTTTGAATATATAATGTATTATAACCCATCCTATTATCCATCACGGTAGGTGGATTATTCTACTTTACACCGTGATATTCTTTGCTCGTGAGTTATGTTGATCTTTTAGTGTAAGTGTCTTGTTCAATAATACTCTTTAGAAATATTTAATTGCAGTACATGTATTACAAAAAGTATAACGACTAACGGCATAAATGTTTACAATACAATAGTGTAAGTAATTTTAATGATTATAATTATTTATTGCTTAAATATATTAATTTAAATATTATGTTTTAGTATAAAAAAAAAAAGTTGAAACTCGTTTACTTTTTTTTTTTAATACATATAATATTTCTATAAAACCACTCAATATAGAATTACTTATATGACTAATTAATTGTACCTTTAAGTCCATTAAATAAATTAATAGTAAGGGTAATATATTAAATCAAATCGAATTAGTTTCGTTGTTTGGTGGTCAACAATTAAAATATTATTTTTAAATTCTATTAACCGTACAAAAACTATTATAATGTCATAGGTAATAAAAAAAAACAGTTAAAATTAATTTTAAATAAAATTGTTATTTATTCATTATCATTTATCTCCGTTATAGATGATATGCTTTGAACTATTATTTTGGTGTTCGATAACCGTTATGTTTAAAAATAAATAAATATAAAAGTTGAACTAATGCATGTAATATTATAGTACGTTCGATTTAACATTAAACATTATTTCGGTAATAATAACATGGATTTATGTGGCTATACTGTAGGTACCTAACCTAATGACGTATGGCATATCAGTATAACATATTATTTAGTTTATTGAAAAAATTGTAATTTGACTGAAATAGTTATGTATTAATGTTCATATGTATAAGTGGAAAATAAATAAAATCTGATATTATATCATTTCGGTTTATTGATTAACAGCATAATATTATAAATTACCTGCCAGGTTACACATAATTGAATTGTACACGGTATTACCATAACATGAGTTATTCCATTGTACAGAAAGCCAACGGGGAAGTCTAAAATTGTTTCCATTCCGCACTCTGCAACTCCGCGGTATTACAAACGTCCTTTGGCTATAAAGCCCCTCCTCGCCCTCCCACCGGTTTGTTTCGATTTATAATTGTTGGTTTGAGGGGAAATCTTGCTATTTTTTCTGTATTATTTGAACTGTTCTCTCGGGCGGGCGTAATTGCATTACTGTTACCTGCTGTCACGTTCGTGTATAGCCGTTAGCGTTAGAGACCGCATCTGGACGAGGAGTGTAGATACATAGGTGATATAACAAGTGAAAAATTTAAACGGGATTATATACGTTTATGTTATACAATATATATTTATAACAGGAGTGACTAGGGGAGACGATTCAACAGAAACGTGTTCGAAATACTCCAACGTTCTGTAGATCCCGAAAGGACTATCTGCAAAGGCGCAAATCCTTTTCAAACTCGCATTGTTCGCAGTCGATGATTTGTATAATTACTCGTCTGTTGCAGCAAGAACATACGGTGGCTATATAATGTATATTTTTCTTCTTTTGTCTAGTAGGTATAGTACGCGCTACATCGTCGAATAATCGATCGATAAATAACAATTAATATAAATGTCGGAAATGATCAAACTATCGACGACACGTCAGTTCACTCATTACAATGATCATTTCCGCCGACAAACTTCCACCTGTACACGACCACGTATGGTATACCCATGATATATAATAATATGTGATACGAGGCTCTCGACGATTGCACAATCAAAACGCAAAATATGACACATCGACTAATTCAACTAGTATTTCGCCAACAGACTCTCGATTACCCCTCGGGTATATCCGCATATACATATCCAATATAAATATAGATAGTGATAATAATAATAAAAAGCGACGATAACGATATATAACGATAGTTTACATTTTACACACACCGTATACATACCTCTGTGCACTGTGATGACCGTGCGTATAATATTATGCGCGGATAAAGGCGTACGTTAAGATGATATACCGCGCTACAGGTGTGTCGACCCGGTCGGACGGTTGAGAAAAAAAAATTTGATCGAAATTCAAAATCGGTGCACGTACACTCTATATTTAGTATTTGATAATATTATATGATACGATACGCGTTCGGAACGTCCAGCTCGTGGTGTGGTCGGCTACACTACTGTTTCCCGGGGGTAGTGAACGCCGCGGGTGGAGAGCGGACAGCCACCATCGCCGCCGCCGCCGCCGTTGCCGCGGCGCGCCGGCTAGTCGTGTGGTGTGACGCCTCCGCACACGCTCGTCCCCCCCCCCCCCCCCAACGAAGGGTCTGTTTTTGCGCGGGTAAATGGCTCCCTCGCACCTGCACCCAGGTTACGAGCAATATACCACGACCATGGGTGTACGACGACAATAATAGTATGACGCGTATAATGTTATACCTACCCAGACCTGCAGTATGTGTCATGATATATACATCCGTTATAATGATCATTTGTCAGCAAACAATAATGTTAAAATGCAATTAAAAATCAGAACTCTACACAATTCATTACGTACTCATTAAAATCAAAAAAAAAAAAATGTTTAAAATTAAACATCTTTTTAAAAAAAATATTTTTCCAGGTAAACTTCGATGTCTTAATACCATTTAAGTCAAATCTGTAATATCATAAAGTTGTTGCCTGATTTTGAAAATAGTTAATATGGTATCACAATTTGTTACGAAAATTAATTAGAACTAGACGTCCTTCCAAGTCTTCTATTACTGGACTCTATCTTAGGATATTTATGCTGCAAGTAGTACCAAGTTTACTTCAGTTTTTCGCAAAATTTGACTAAAACTACAGTTTCCCAAAGTTTCCGGTTCTAAGGGCTTCTAGAACTCATGAGCGAACTTATAGCGGCTAAACTATTATTCATAAAACATTTTAAAAAATGTTGTAACAAGTCCAATGTCCGACGCTTTCAAAAACTATGGCAATCATTTTTAAAAGTATTTAAAATATATTTGAATGAATGTATTTGTATCTGTATTTAAGTTTAATTTGAAAAGTATCTTTTACAAAACTGGCTGTATACCGCTGCAAATGTGTCGTCTTAGGTGTAAACGCTTTTATGGTTAATTTATTTTATGATGATAAAATTGACAAAATTACTACTCAAATTTATCGAAATAATAAATATAGATCTAGTCGTTTTCGTTATTAACTATATTATCATCCAATATACACGGCTACATACAGACATACAGATACAGCTTTGTAGAGAAGATAAAATCTTGTAAATAATATATTATTATACAGATTAATCTTTTCTACACAATTTGCATCTTATAAACTAATAAACTAGTTAACTAGAATAATACAAGTGTGAAGTGATTTTTTATCCGTATAGACGTATAGTATAATACAGGTGTATTGGTTTTATTTCGATTTTATTTTTAAAAAATGTCAGAAAATATAAATACGAGGTCGAAATTTCGTCATGAGTGGCAATTATGACAATTCAAAGAAAAATCTTAAAAAAACCACGATGGTTTTTGTCTTCACCGGTAATTATCATGGATAAACTAAAATACTAGATTTAGATAGGTAGTCGATTCTCAATATATTATCACCAGTTGTTGTATTTGTATATCACTTATCCAAAAATAGCAGAGCAAATCCAGTGGAGACGCACCTTTAGGTATTTTCATGGGCGTTTTAGCGACGTTGTAGTTGCGCAGCATTTGTCATAATTTTAAGTTGCACGGCTTTAGTGTTCCCTGGCTGCATAAACATGGTATATTAGTACGATGGCCACACACAATAACAAGTGGTCGGGCCATGCAATGCGCCGATCACAGAACCCGAGGCCACTGTTTAAAAGTTGAAAATATAAAGCGACTTTTTAATACATTGCTTAGATACCTATATTGAATTTATCTACAGTACGCAAATGTTTCTAGTTGTGGCCTGTGGGACGGTCCTGGACAACACGTCCACAACTTTTAATATAATGACAATGAATTTTATTATTGTATTCTACATTTTAAATTCTTAGCGACTTAAAAAACATAAGTGTTTACGAAGTTTTTATGTAGTCTATTGCTCAAACTCAAATGTATTGTTAATATTATAGAAAATAATTATACTTATTACCGACTATATAATATTATATTTATGTGTTATAATATATGTAGTGTTATTTAATAAATATTATACATGCATAGCAAATATTATACGAAAGCAAAAAATCGAGGTAATATTTTAACCCAGATAAATAATATATTAGTTGCAAATCGAGCAAATATTCAATACATGCGCATAGGTTCAAAGTATGCAATATATTATGCAATAATCATCAGACCTTTGTATATTACATGCCAATGTAATGGTAATTGGTGTAGTACTATAGTATATGAACCCAGCAAGATCTTAAAATAATAATTTAATATTTAAATTAATGGTGGAAAGTTTTTCAATTAGGTACCTCTAACACGCAGAACATAAATGCATGCACATTTAGAAACTCAACTTAGCAAATTCGCTTGAAAACTTATTCTGAAACTCCACTAATACATTGGAGAGATCCCGCGAAACACTAAAAACATTATCGAACAGCGAGAGTGATTAATAACTATTATAATAATAAAATAATAGGTATGATGAAATACGTAAAGTTCGAAATTTGAAGGTGTTGTTTTTTAGTTTGCTTGTCGTCGTATCTACTCCGTCATCATATGCGATGATGATTTGTGACAATATAGGATACATTGTATATATAATGCATAAGAGTTTATTGAATAGTATCAAAATTGTATTGTTATTAGCAGTTAATGTATTTAGACACAAAATTAATGGATGTTTGTATTCACAAAACGCTTATTTGATTGTTCAGTGTTAAGTCCGTAAATGATTATATAATATAACTACAGCAGGTGTAATCTGCCAATGCAATGTGTACACTGTACAAGCACACGGTCTTCAAATACAAATTTACGATTCTGAAAATTCGTTCCCATTTACTACGAGAGAGGTGTGCTGCTGTTTTTATCATAAATTGTCCTACGAATTGCTATTTTTATTTGTAAAATATAACATAATATTGTTATTTGTAACAGCGAACGACGTTTTGAACGGAGTTTTTGGGTAAACGACCGGGACAAAAAAATGATAATAATCTTGTTTTAATATTGTTATTTACGGTGCAACAGTTAAGCATACCAAAAATCCGTTCTAAAAAAAGCTTAGGTACCTACAATAATTCAAAACGAAAAGACAGTTGTATACAACGACGTCCACGAAAACACTTCGGAAAAAGTGGAAGCGTTCGGTTCGCTTTTAAACTTGTTTTCGAATGTAATTGGTGAATTAAATCTGATTATTATTGTTTATCTTATTTTTTTTTTCATGCATACAGAACGTGCAAAATCCCATGAATTCCCTTCGCATTAATCCAGCAAAGATTGTTTTTAATCATTTTCATATTTCATTTTACAACAAATAAAATATATACCTAAAAAGCATACCGTACACCAACAACACGAATTTTTTATTATCTAAAATTATAGCGTCATATTATATAACTAGGTATTACCAGAAGTGATATAAGACTATTTATTTTTGATTAAACTTTAATAATGCTAGGTAATAATAATAATATCATGTACGATTTTTGTAATATTTTTTTATTATTTGTCCCGTAGCAAAATATTCTTATGAAAATATCGATACAAATGTGAATTTATAAATTATTGTTGATAATAATATAATAACAAATTTCAAATTTAAATGAATGATAATTGAAAGCAGAAAATTTGTTTTACTCGTCAAGAAATATAGTATCAATTGATATTTTAAAAAGTATAGAAAATCATTACAAGTCAATTATAATTTTAAATCCAAAATAATTATGATTTCATAACAATAAGTGGAATTTGCTGTTTATACTATACACAAGTATGCATAAAATATAAAATTTAAACACTCGAGAGCCTTTATTATATATTATTATATTATATTGCCGAATTACGTATACTAAAGCTCTGTCCTCGGTGACGCCCTCGGTCCAATAGTACGGACGGAGACTAAAGCGTTCGACTACTTTAATTATGGTAGATTGGTAGGTACTTCGAAAATACAATATCCTAACCAACATGATATATTTTCAACATTCAAGTATATTTTATACACCCCATCGAACAGTTAACTAAATATTAGTGCAAATATAAACTCAAGCGTACTGTAAAACCAATTCAAAGTTATAAATCTTTCTTAATTGTTAATAATATTCTCTTGAATATTTTTCCGATTACGTTTTTGATTTATTATACCGAAGTTAGTTGTATAAAAAAGCAAAACAATAAATTAAAATATTTGATCGATGGTATAATTTTCAGCTTTACTAATTGGTAGGTATTAACAATATTTTTTTTCTGGTAATTTATCTTTATTCGGAAATTAGCTGTTTCTATACTTACATATTTATCCATATCCAAGATCGTGAGAGTATCTTTTTGTTTTAGTTAAACTACTTAATATTGCTTTTGAAACCGCTTTTGACAACAGACTTCGTTGCATGTCATCGGTCCTAGTCACCTTGTCGGTTGACATTCTATTTTAGATACACCATTCATAATACATTATTGTATATATCATTTTACATTTACCACACAAGTACACAACTATAGTCTCATCGAAAACAGGCAATGCCAAGACAATAACAACGAAATGTGATATTAATATAGTTGGTCGATTGAACATTTGAACAATACCCTATCTTTGAATCAGTATTCTGTTTGGCTCCTTTAAATTCAACTCTAAATTGAAACTTACTAAGTTACTTATAATACCTATTTTGTAAATATACACACCATACTGATAAATGATAATCGTCTTTTCATATTTACTTGCCGCATTTATGAGTACCTATTATTATACATAGTGTGGCAATTTATGGTCACTTTGTTTTTCTACATAATATTATTTTAATATTAGGTATTTCTAATAATAATAATACTTGTATTATAGTCATTCGCAATATAAAAAAATATTAAACGATGGTTGGATTTTTGTCACTTAATATTTGTAATCAGTTTTAAGTTCAGTTAACAAAACATATTAGTATATTAGTATCTTACTAAATATTAAAGAATAATTTTGGAAAAATGTATTTAAATAATGATAAATATCTTTTCATTTAGAAAATATGAAGTACCTGCCAATATGTTACATATTATTGAAAATTCATATAAAAACAAATATGATGTTCGGTTAGTGTAGGTTTATTAATTATTTTAGTATTTAAGTATAAGTAAAACCATTTTTTAATCAATCACCCTGGGCCCAAAAACAACAAAAATACTCACTTAATCACTATTTTGAATCTTTAACATAATAATATCAAAAACAGGATAGAAGATTAATTTTGAACTTAAAATGTACAAAATTCGGTCCCTCCTAAAATTTGAAACGAAACCCTATTATATTGATAATATACAAAAACATATCGACATCTACCTATAAATGTATTTAACTTGATTTAAACATATTATAATGTGTTTGACAACATAATATTTTCACACCATACAAAAGAACTTAAAACTTATATCTAATTTCTAATATTATAATAACTAAACTCCTATACAACCAAACCAACTAACATTGTTTATAGTACTTTATACATTTGTACTGCAGATTATCTCACGAAATATACCACCCGACGCAATACTACATATTATACAGATAGTGTCGCGATGAGGTCCTACGTACTATTAATTTGACCTCTGTATAAATTCGCATTATATCCAATTACACTTTAATCAGCAAAGACTCAAAACATCCTTATAATTATACAAATAAACCTCACCTTGATAATGCACATTAAGTATTATGTAATTGAAGTTTATGAGTTTAATTTTATGATATTATATTATTATAATATAGTAGGAACTAGCCACTAGAAATACTGTGTTTCCACAATGATATTACAAAATGTCGCTAACAGGTAATAATACGTTCGTAAAAGCACACTAGACAATTAAATAACTTTCAATAATTTTGAAGTTTAATTAAAACGAATCACTCAAACAAAACTCGCACATAAGTCTATACTAATTATTATTATTGGTTTTTTTTACTAATAATAGTCAATAATTGTATCAATGAAGTGTTATTTAAGCTTTGGATCTGTAATATTTATTGTATTTATAATGGACTATTTAATGGAATTGGATTTACTGTAAGGTGCCATGAAACAATTTAATCAAATATTTTCAGTCATATGTAACAGAATTCACGATAACCGACCGACAATCTAATTAGGATTAAAGTTCCAAATATTATACCTAAATAATATACATTATATACCTAATATAATATAATAAGGTACCCATTAATCGGGTTGTTTTTTTATGCTTATAACCATCGAAAAGTTGATCTAAACAGAAATCTCCGAAGGTCTCATTGATTCATTGGCTTTGGCCTACAAAAAAAAAAAAAATGTGCATCACCATTGAAAAGTATTTATAATAAATTATAATCCCCATGTTTTATAAATAATTATCTGCAGCTTAGATTTTTTTTTTTTTATCTTTTTACAGAATTTAAATATTATTATTTAAAGTAGGTTTTATTCCATTAAGATTTTACGTTTAAACAATGAAACAAATATTGAATGAATACAATAATTGAAGGTCCCAAAAAAATATTTTTAAGTAATCCAAATAGTGAAATCATTTCTATGTTTGATAATTCGTAGTGCAAAATCGCAGGGAATAATAGAGATAATATGACGTTGAGTGTGTTTACCGGCGTATTTAAAAACTTTCTGGTGGCTTTTAGATTATGTATCGAAGATTGATGGTTTCATTTAAGATGTTCAGAAAGATGAGCCATGTGTCGCTTGTATATCTGTACGTATTTTGCAGAATTTAAAGTTAACTTTATGAACTTTCACGCATTAAGAGTATTTAGGAAGTGCATCCCGAGGCTAAGTCACTATTATAGCGCTCTTGCGGCTAATGCGATTTACTGCTCAATGTGCAGTCTTAAACCAGGTTCATCGTCTTACCCACGATTGCAATAGGAATGTATAGCCATATAGGATCAGATATTCAGATGTAAACGTAGTATAAATGGCAATTGCGGGAAAAGGGTTATGGTGGTTGTCAACTTTTATTTTTGTGAGGAATACTAAAAAAGTTTTACAACCATCCTAGTACTTTTTTGTTACTTTCTACAATTTCAAGTAGCTTAAGGGGGCTGGAGCAGGAACAAATAATCACGTAAAACCGGCCGAAATGTAGAAAAAACTGTAAGACTTCGGTTTGGTGGATTTTAATTTTGAAAACTAATTGAAAATCTTCAACAACTCTACCAAATCATAGATGTGGAAATGTATTATTATTGCAAATATTAACAGCATACTTATATATATAAAATAACAAAATTCTTATTTTTAAATTTTTGATATTTTATCGTAGAATTTGAACAAATAAAATCCCCTCATCCATCCCTAATCGACACAATAACTAATTTTAATATCAATTTTCAAAATTAAAATCAGTTGAATCCAAGTCCTTCAATTTTGTCTAGCTTTTTTGCATTTTGTCATTTGAATTGCATGGCGTATATTTGATAAGATCTGTATCCTTGACATGTTCTTGCGAGTGCTGAAATTTATATGCGGGCGGTGACCCGTCACCCGTCGGTGCCGGTACTCGATAACGAATTTTACGAATTGCACACACTATCATTCATTTACTTCTCTCACAATAACACAGCTTAAATATAATTGTTACATGAAATGCCTAAATGTTACTCCTTAGAACACGTCATGCTCCAGCCCCTCTAAAGGGAACATTTGTCGAATGTCGTGAAAAGTTTGACACACACTTTTATGTATTATGTAAAGCAATGAAGTGATATAGTTTAAGAAATGATAGGTACCTGAATTTTTACCACAAAATGTTAAAAAAGTGTCTGACGGGAAACGACACTAATATAAAATTACGAGTATCATTTTATACACCACCACTGAATCCAACCACATTACACATCTAACTATTTAGTAAAATGACGAAGATATACGTTCTACCTTATACTCATACATGTAGTCAAAGTTATTATACTTTGTGCGTTGAATATATGATAGTATAATAGTGGGATAAAAAATGTACAAAAAGTTCAAGACAAAGAAAAATTCTGAATAACTTATATCATATTAATATGTACTATATGTTTATAATGTCAGTTTTAAACTCTCATTTGTTCTTCGTCTTACATTCTTAACATTTTCAACAATAATTTTCAAAATTAAATATGTAAAAAATAAATTGAATTGTTTAATGTGAAAACTTTTTCATAATATGCATGAGGATGTAAAAAAAACACATTTTTAACGTAAATAAAACACAAAAGTATTTTTACATACAGTGAAATCTCCCAATAACGAACGTTTTCTTGTAAACCAACTACAAACTTCCTACAATTTGAATGCTATGAATAGCAGACACCTCCGAATAACGGACAAAATTTTAGGGACCGAGAGTGTGTGATATTAATAGGTTTCAGTATATAAAACATTATTTAGTATAATAAAATAGAGAGTTACACCAAAATCTAAATAATACTATTCTATTATATTTGAAATATTGTTGTAGGTACTCGAACATGCTCTTTTTAAATTTGCGAAAGTATGAAAATATAATTAAGTTATATTAATACATAATTATAACTTCAGCTATCCATGAATTTCTAAATAGTTATACACTTCGAGCACGTTAGGAACATGTAAAACTATCTAAAACCGAGTTTTCCCATTCCCATGTTAACAAATCATACTCTTAATGTGCTCGGAGTGTAAATTAGTGCCTATCAGGCTTCAGGGCCGGACATTTTAACCAGAAAAAATGTACAAATGTATTGGACTTACATTTTCCTTCAAAAATAAATAAATTAAGTAGCCTCGGGGATAGTGTGACTTTCTATTAGTAAAATAATTTTTATAATTTTCGGTAGTTACTGAAATTACCCCTTATATATATGTAAACAAATTGTATATCTTTGTAATATTAGTATTTATTTTGCTAAATAGATATTATACCTAACGAATTCACAAAACGCCATTCAGAAGTGTTTGAATGTTTAGTCGTTGCAGTATAACATTATTATAACTTTTTTTTTCTGTTTGAACCGACGACGCCGCGGGATCTGCTTTCGCATTGCTTCCTCGAATAATAGTTAATAATTATTATAATTTATAAGTAATTGCAACAACGTTTGTTTTATTATATTATGACGCTATATGTGATAATGTCTTTGAGCTCCGGAAACTTTTGAAAGTTTAAACGGCTTTATGCATCACCGGCGCCATCTTTGGAGATAGTAAGTACGAACGAAGACAACGCGACGTCAGTCCGGTGGATGTCGTTTGCCACGAAACGTTTTCGGCGTGTTGTCGTCGCCGAACAAACCGTCACGGGGCAACACAACTTGCACTCACGACCATGAACGTTATCACATACGATCTGCACGACTGCCATGATGTTCCGTTTCCCTTATCAAGCACCGCCGTCAAATCGGTGTCGCGTTATCGACACCGATAGTCGTGGATCACTGTCTGGTCTGAATAAAAAAAAAAATGACAAACGGGAAAACGCAACCTGAAAACCGTTGAAAAATATGAAAAACCAAACGAGTTGACGAGTGCGTGTGTTTGGGCGACGGCGGATCAGAATTATATTTTTTGCCCGGGCGATTATCGCAAAAACAATCGATTATTACTGCGCACAAAAACAATCGCAGCCGCAGCTGTTCGGGCCCGTGTCGAGTGCCCGTGCGCGTCGTCGTGTCCGTGCAGTGCGTTTCGATTTTGCTAGTCGCTTCGTCGTCGTCAGGTCGTCGCGCTGTTCGGGAGGAGTGATAAACGACAGCCACAACTTTTACACACGTCCGCCGCTCTAATCCGCGACACCGTCGACTAGTTGTGCGCGCATCGTGGTGACCGCGGCCGAAGGCAGAGTCGTCGCACGTTTGATGGTGAGTTTTTGCTTTTTACACGGCTACTTATCTCTGGGCTCGGACGATGGACGAGATGATGCCCCATGTGCTACACCATTACCTTATTACTTATTTTGTTGTATTTCATGTCGTTTGTTTGTTTGTACGTTGTCGCTCTCCGTGGTCGATTCAGATGTTGTGTCATCGGTCGTTGAGCACATCCGCCGATCGCGGGTGTAGCGGTACCCTAAATCGTTCTGGGGGACTTGTAAACATAACGCTGGGAGATTCGACAGTGTTAGATCACATTCTGAACAAATAAAATGTTAAAAGTACCAATGTCAAGTATGCAGCTTACAATCCAGCCTTCTGTAGGGTAGCATGGAAATACAGCTAGGACAGGTACCCTAATATTATTGAAGGTATTATCGTGCCTCCCCTTCAGTCAATTATTGTTGCACTCGGATGTGGAGCTATTGTACTGCTGAAAGTTTTCACTTTTTAATGATTCGATAGATAGTGGTCTACTCAATAACGTTTGAATGTCTACCTATTATATTATGTTTCACTAGGCGCTCGCATCACTAGCATTAAAAAAAAAAAAAACAGAAAAATTATATAGTTACAGGAGGGATACTCCATTAGTGTAATGTAGGTAAATCAGTCCAAGTCTTTCAGATTTATGAACTGACCAAAATCTGGTAAATAATTGTTTATATTATTATAAAATAAATTATTAAATGATCACGACTCAGTAATGTAATAGGTACCAACACACACCTAATGTATTAATTTTAATCGAGAAAATAAAACGTATAAGTATTAATGTGTTATATTACACCCTACACTTACCTATTATCAGTTATTAATTTATTCAAATATGCCAATGTGTGCTGTGATAATATTCATGTTACTCTAAAATTTGATGTAGGATCATAATTTACTAAGTTGCTTATTTACCTCTTAAACTACAGAAATAAAAATTGTTACATGCATACTTAAATCAAAACATAATTGAAACATCAATATATTTATTAGATAATTATAATAATTGTTTTCCCAATTAATTAATTAATTAATTGATATTTAGAATATGCTTTTTCATGGTGAGAATTTGGTGATAATTGTTTAAAATAAAACCTATACATTTGATAGGTAGGTAGGTCAGTCAGAAAAATCCTATTATATCTATTATGTATGATAACTTATTTACTTATTTCATGCAACTATGTCTAGTTAATCACTTTTTAATTATCAACATATTTGAGGAGGTTCCTTATTAAATAGGTATACTATGTTCTCTCTATTAAAATGTTTTCATTTGGATTTACAAAATCCAAACTTTATAAATTAGTTAGGTAGTAGTAATAGTTAGTTGTGATATTAATTGAATAAGAATGATTATAAGTTATTAGTTATTATTACCAAACCAAAGTATTCCAAATTCTAAATATTAACCCCCTCCCCCTAAGAAAAATGTACATTTGTACCTATGCACACAATTTTATATTGGTTTGTTGTTTCTATTTAATCTGGATAGTAAACCACTCTTAAATAATTTGTACACTATATTTCTGATTTTCAAAAATTGCTAGAAATGATTTCTTAAGATTTTAAGAGAATTAAAAAGGATGACCAGAGATTTCCAAAAATTACTTTTCTTTATACCTATGTAGTTTATTTATTAGAATAAACCCCAAGCAGTTTTTAAGAACAGTATTAGCAATACAAAAATTAACTGATCTTATGAGTTATAAATAAAGATGGAGAAGGATTTAAAAATATTATAAGAGTATATTAGGACCAAACAACAGCACTATATTCTAATGATATCCAATATAGCAAGCTTTGGTTATGTGTTAGAGAGGGGAACAGTAAAGACAATAATAAATACCTACACAAATTTAGTATACATTATGATAATATAAACATATCAAAGAACCTACTTAAAATATAATAAATAATAGGTAGGTAGGTACCTACTATCTAGGGAACTAATATTGATTTTTGATTAAGTATACTTAACTGTACTTACTTTACACTGTAAAAAAATATTACAGGTATATTATATGTATTAGGTATTTAACTTACTTCTTATTCAGGCTATTTTCTTACAAAGTATAAGTAGTATTGTTTTAGTCAGTATCGTGGTGTTAATAATCTGGTACCTAAATATTAATAGAGGTACCTTACTACTTTCATATTATTTGTAATTTTTATTTTTTAGTTTTTGAACAATGTTTGACCTCACATTTGATATGTTCACAAAGGATTAAATAAAATTAATATTTTACACATTGAATTAATATTAATTATTAGTTTACCAAAGGTTTGCACAATAGGTACTTACCTAGGTAATTGTTAAGTTTATTTTTGATTTATTTTATTTGTTTGAGTACCTATTTGTTATATTCAATCAAGAATTAATCCCATGTTGATTTCAGAATTTACATTTTCATTAAAATTAAGTAAACAAAAATAGCACTCAAACGTACAAACTAGATATAATTTCTGATCTTTTAACAATTTCTATATCTATCATAAACTTTTTGACCCGTTTCATGATGTAAGAAATAAACATCATTGTAAAACCATTGGATCAATTAATTTTGCTTAGAATATAAAATACCAAGATACCTTCCAACATTTTTTTTTGTTTTTAGAAGAAAAAGCAAGTCACAAGTGTGTACTATGTGTACCAAGTTATAAATTATAAAATAAAGTATGCCTAATGAGAATCAAAATAACATTGCATAAAAATGAATAGCTAAATAAATATTAATACTTTAAACCTTCTTTAAACAATCTTCTTCCTAAACTTGAATGATTTGAAAACAACTAAATAGGTATACTAAAAAAACTAAAAATACATTTTTAAATATATAAATTATAATTTAATACATTTTCTTCTTTTTGTAGGTGGGCAATTTAATAATTAACTTTATATCAAGCTTTTAATATATTTTATTATCTCTTTAAAACATTCAAATTTAACAATATTAAAATAAAAAATATTGTTTGCCATATCATTGTAAGTTAACTGTTTACCACTGGTATAAAATATTACAAAAAAATAGGATACCTACTTGAGAGATATAAGAATGGTTTCCAATGAAGTATAACATAATATTATAATTATTTTTCAATATCTTTGACAAAAGGAAGAATATCACATCATAATAGCATTAGCATTAGCTATTGATGACTACTATTTTCTTTGATTGAACATTGAGTACCTACTGTAACACATTTTTTTAAGACGGAAGGCAAATTTTACCAACACAAAATACTTTTAGTTTTATGACTACTGTAAGTTAGTAGCTCATTCATTACTTAATTAACTCAAAATAGTTAATACCTTGATTCAGTCGCATGTATGCTCAAATAATTTTTGGTGGCCCATCCCTCATAATGTTTTTATACCTATCGATAAAATGTACTATTTTCCTTCCATCAATACCTAGTACCTACCCACCCATATTTAAGGTGTTACCTGACCAAAACTCGTACTTTATGTTACATGTGACTGTCTAGATTGTAGAAAGGTAGGAGGTGTATATTTCAGATATTATTAATAATGATGCCTCATACTTAGCATTCTAAAATTTAAATATAGGTAATAAATTATTGTTGGTATTTAAACAAAATGTAAAATTAATTGCTCATTCAAGGTATTCCTTGAGGTATTCTTTCTCATATTTTATAATAGTATTGACTGGTTATTATATAACAACAGCCCTGTGGGTTAATAACTCGGTTAATACATTAATCTGAATGACCTAATTTACAGAATAATGTTAATAGTTATAATTTGTATAATTTTTAGTTTTCATTATTTAATCAATAGTCATAAAATAATTGTAATTATTAATTACTTTCATAATACCTACTTAATAAGGTACCTATTTAAATAGGTAGGTTAGAAATTTAGTTTCAGATTTGTTTTAATTTAAGCCAATTCAATTAAAATTAAGTGTTGGCTATTGAGTATTGCTCATAAGCATAACTCATACCTAAGTTTTACATAGGTAGAAATAGATTATAATCTCTCGATTAAACATTATTTTAGGGTTTATCACTCAACTTTACTAAATGTCTTACTTTAACTTTATGTTTTAGTATCCTTCCATATGAGTTGCAATCGAGATACAATGGCTGATATAATGGTACATTCGGCTGACAACTCACCTCGGCGTGAGGTGTATCGATGTGGAATGCTCTCGCCAGTACTTGGTCCACGTAGTAGTTTTCGTATGAATAGTGAACTTAAGCATAGCCGTAGTGATGATCTTATATTACAAGGTGCTCCTTATACTCCACCGGATATGCAGCACGGTATAAGTGATGCTGCATTTCAAATTCAAAAAGATGCTTGTGTGGTGTATGATGATGAAGTCAATGATCATAGAATATCTGTGGCTTGCTATGAATCACCTATCGTTGCTCCAGAGTCAAATCCAACACCTCTATTGAAGCTTACTGGGGATTTTTCATCAGAGGGTGCTAATAAAAGATGTAGTGTAATTGATCGCATTGACCCAGAAGATAGCATTGGTGACATCATATCTCAAAATGACTTTTACAGGTAATAAACGACAGTTAATATATTTAAATATTTTAGATATAAATAAAACTTAATTTGGTTCTTGTATGTATTGTAAATTTTTTTTTTACCTATTTAGGTAGTTGAATTTTTTTTTTTTTTATTAATCTTAAGCTTCGGCAACTGAGGCCATTAGCTGTAGTAGAATTTGTATTGTAGGTTTGTATTGTATATTTTTTGGGACGGTAGGGGAGCACGTGTGTATTTGTTTTTGGCAGAATTTCGAATGGGGCACCCGTAGGTTTCTGCCATGCCCCGGGGGTGGGGGATGGCAGCACTTGTTCTCCGGTCACCGCGACTTGTCCGGAGAAAAATGCCGCCTGGTAGCCGAGGATCGACCCGCGACCGGCTGCGTCGCAGCGGACGCGTCAGACCACTCGGTCACCTCATCCCCCGGTAGTTGAATTGTTCATAGTACTGTTACAGTTACAGTATATACCTACTCAATAACAATAATTTTTTTAGTATAAAAATGTTAAATTAAACATTCATTATTATTAACAAATTACGGTATGTTTATTGTAAAACATATTTTTCAAAGACTGATTTGTTCTAAAAGTATTGAGTAGTAACTATTATACCGTACTATACTTATGCATAATTTATTCAATATATATATTACATTTTTATTAAGTTTTAACATGGGTATTGCAAATAGTTACTTAATTATAAAACAATTTAAAATTATGTTTCATTTAGTAATTTAATACCATTCATAAATCATCATGAAACAAACACATGCCTTTACAAACATAATATTGTCTTATTTGTTATTTATTTTCTTTATCAATATTTTGATCAATGTGACTATTTTGCTAAACGTGGTAAATTTTAGTTTAGTATTTAATTGTATACCTATGTATATAAGATAAGATAGGTAGTACGTCAATACACCTAATTGCAATAAGATGTACTTCAATATTCGCAAAGCATTCATAACAATTGCGCGAAATAAATATCAAGCTATTTATTATACATGAGCATTATCCTTGAGCATAATGACGAACACGTTTATAACCTCAGGGTCTAACTCATGTCGAACTTACTTTACCAGTTTCGTGGTAAGGTGTGCTGTTGTGTTTTGTTCATTGTTCATCAAATGTTTGTGTTCAAAGATTTGAAAATAAAAATATTTAGCTTGAGATTTGAATTTGAAGAATTCAAAACGAGTTCTTCTTTTATTTACTATAGTCTACAAACATAAAAACATGAATCATTGTAAAACCAATAGATATCTCACTCCGATCAGAATCTAAAACTTACACACTAATAGACATGGCTTTTATATACCAACGTTTTTCATCAAGTTATATAATCTATTATTAGTTATATTACCTAGTACCTATATGTACAAATAAATATTTGCTTGTATTAAAAAAACGTCTATTTGGTACCTAATTTAATTTAAAAATTATTAAACATTTAAATAAAATTATTTTTATCCGTGTGAATCTATTGATTGAATACATTATTACGTGACAAGTACTTATAATTAATAACAGTAGGGTTTGATTGGACTTTTGTATTCTCATTAATATTTACCACTTAATTCTGTGATATTATGATGAGTTCCATAAAATTAGCCATAGCACATACTAACTTAGTGATAACCAAGGAATAGTGTAGGACATAATATTTTCAACTTTATATTTAATAATTTCAATTTAAAATTTAAATACGCCATCTATGTTATATTTACCAACTGGGAATATGTTATAATGCATTGTATTTATAAATAATTAAAAAAAGAAAATTACTTCATTATTTTGATTAGGTACCTTTATGAGTAATTTTAAATTAAAGTGTATATGGTTACCTATATATAGTATATATTCTTGTGAAGTTGTGAGCTATAAAATGCAAAAATGTTGGTATTCATAAGTAAAGTGCTTAATTTAATTAAAAAAATTGCGTTTAAGCGTAAAATTTTATTACTATAACATAATATTAAAACTGTTATTCTATAAGCTTACATTAATATATATATTATGTAATAGTATGTTCTCCAAACTAATAATTCTAAGTTTTAAGTCTTAACTATTTTAATTGTTAGGTTATACAACTTTATAAAGAAAAATACTAAGTTTAAGTTGTTAAAATGTATTATTTGCTCAATTATTTAGAGTCTCATTTTTGTTTGTGTTAACTACTTAGACGATAAATACCAAATGCTTTGTATGCGTTATAACAGCATTATAACTATATTATAATTCATAGTACCTAATATTAGTATAATACGAAAAATGTTCTTATAGTAGTTGGTAAATGAATCGATCAACTGATGTGCAATAGTAATAAATGTGATTTTTTTTTTATTAAAACCCGTTGTTTACACATGCGATATATCTAAACATCGAATTGTAACGCCGAAAGGTGAAAATTGTTACAAGACAAGTGGTTTTGCTCTGTCGAGTTCATTCATGTTACGAGAAATCAAATCACAAGGTTAATTCGATAAGATTTCCGGTAGCTAAATTCCAAAGGAATTCTATCTAATTATTTGTAAAAGAATATTGTTTCACTTCGAAGTAGTTTTGTAGCTGCATACACTGAGTGTATTTACGTTGTCTAAAACAAGAGATTATAGTAAAAATCATTTTGTGAACAACATGAAAATAATATTGAAATGACAAGATAATTACTTAAAGATTTGTTAAGACTTTAATGGTTATGCGAAAATAGTTGAAATTTCGTTGAAACTTGAACAAATTCTATTCGAGATTCAAGTTCTACATATCATTAAGACAAAAAAGTTTAATTTACATTCAATTTGTTTATTTATTTTTATTTCATGATAATTAATTGTGTAGTGGAATGTTTTCTTTATTTATAATATCTTGAAGTAAGCAATTAATGATGATCTAGATTATATTAGACAGATCAAATAGATTCAAAGCTATAAGTGGACGATGTGCGTACAAAGCGACGTATCCAGAGGGGTCGATTAGGGGTTTATAAACCCCCCTTCCAAAAAATGTTAAACAACAACATTTTCACTGACGTACATTTATTATATTTAATATTATATAACAATAAGTCATTAACTTCGTTAACATTTAATTAATAGCTACTAAAAAATAAACAGCAACAATAATAATTTTATTTTTTTAAACATAACACATTCCTAGCCTAAGATATCTAGTGATGTTTGACAATTTTCCAATTAGTTTTAACAGATTAACGTGATAATTAAAAATATTTTTAAATACTATGGATAATTGACAATTGGTAATTTTAGATATACAGAAGTAAATTGATTACAATAATGTAATAACTATAAGTAACAGAGAGGTTGTAGACTTGTAGAGTGATCTGGAAGAAGCGCATGTGTAGAGTGAAGAATTATATCTCATACACCTTGTTTTCTGTAATATATTATTTATAAACACTATTTTTAATTAACGTTCTCTTTTACGGTAAATAATAAAGATATTTAAATTATGTTCATATTTTATTTCAGATTTGTGTTGTTCAAACGTCATTACGAAAAGTATCTGGACATATCGCGAAAATACGAAGAAGCTCGAAGCTTGGCATACTATTTAGAAGAAAAATATCATGAAATAAAGGTGAGTTTTTCTCTTCCCATATACGACCATCGTTTGGGGAACTGTTTAGAATAATGCGGAACGGATACAATAATATATAGGTCGATATACTCGTACATATTGTTTTATTCGTTATTCCGTGGCTATTAGCACTTTCACTATTCCTACAGTATTCGATTTGAACGACAACACCCACAATAATTTAAAACCGCATTAGGAGGCCAAAGATGATGATTATATTCGTTTAAACTAAGCCTAATCATCAACTCTACAGAGTGGTGGGTCTCGATGACACTAATATTGTATTTAGGTCATCGACCATAATTACGCGTATGATCAAAACAGGAGAAAGCATAGTACTACATAATAATTTGATGTATTCGAATCGTTTCCAATATACTTAGGCGTTTCTACTAATTGTAGATATTAACACGGGCACCGAAAAACTTTGATCGCTCGAATAGTAATTACTGACGAAGCAAAGAAAAACCAATAATTTAACTTCCTCTCCATATAATAAGACGTGGTGTTTTTAGTTTTTGAAACAATTAAACTATTTGTTATTTAATAATTAGCAGCTAAATACAAAAAAACACTAGTAAAAGTTAACAGCCTCGTGGTTTATTAAAAAAATGTATCATTACGCTCACATAATATAATCGGCGAAGGCAAGTAGTAATTGTAATTGTTGTCCACTCATTATATAACTGCGAACGCGAAGTGAGAGTTGTTCGTGTGGGTACCTACTACCTCTACCGTTATTCATCAGGAAATCCTATCGATCAGTTTTTCGTACTCGGCTATTACATTATTATGTGTATGGTTTTGCTGACCTATTCGCCCAAGTCATTATTATACAATATCATTAAAAATAACTATTTTCGAATAAATAATAATAATATAACACACGAGTCGCCTTGATGCATACGCTTCCAAGGTAAAAGACGACTGACTGCGGGTCTCGAGCTCGACCGTAGGGGAACTGCTATGAGCGAAAAAAAATATTATAACCAGTGACGCGGTGAGGCTGTTTTCTGTACAGTTGTGGTGGTGATTGTGGTGTGTACTGTGTACGCTGCCTTTAGGCTGTGTACTGACACTATCGTTTTACGAGAGATCGACTTCTTATGTGACCCACTTTGATATCGCATATGCGAAATGGATACCGTATCGGGAAAAAATCGGTAGCGGCGGTGGTTAGAATGCGTTTCATATAGTCAACTCGAATAAAAAAGTCGGGTAGAAGTCTTTATTTGTATTTTCTTTGCCTTTTTGCGTAGCTCGAAGAAAGTATTATATGTCAGTTACTGTGAATAATCTAATAAATGCCATGCGGCGTGAATTCAATTTTACGACAAGTATATCTGTCGAACATAATATTGAAAATTATGTTTCCATTAATCTTGCTTCTCGAAGCCCAGGTATTGTTTCGTGCCGATTTCGTTAATAAATATTTACGTTTACTATATACGGTTATAAATATAACATACAAAACCAATCGGATCGCACAATTATTGACATGTCAAAATTTGAGTGCACAACTATAGCGGTACGAGTTCTGAGAATACATTACGGATTCTATATTGGTACTCTGTAATTATATTTTGTTTCATAATATTTATGATTTAAACTATGTAGATAAAAACGGAAAAGATATTTTCGATTACCGAACTAGTCTTAAATAACATACGAGGAACTATTATAAAATTATTTTAATTTTAAACGTTTTTCCTAGACGACCACCACGTTTCACAAATACAATACTTGGCTTGTAAAATTAAATTAGGTAACCAATAATATTAAGATAGTATTATGTTTTCTGGAATAAGTTGAAAATCAACTAAAATAAAAAATATCTGTAATTAGGTATCATTTTGTCATATTGTGTTGAATTGGTTATTTTAGATATTAACAAAACAAGTAGCTCGATAGTTAATAAATAAAAGTATACAAATATACAACACAAGTGTAGATTACACAATTATAAAAATAGATGTTAAATGAATGTGTTGGAAGTTAAAATATTGCCCAAAAAAAATATGAATAATAAAATTATAATTAGGTATGTTGCAATGTTGCATATTATATTCTATTCTTTTAATTGTAAATAATATGATAGGTTATATTGATGGATATTTTGTACGCCTTAACTTTAAAGTATTTGATATTGATACGTTTGTTTAATGTATTATATTTTACTATTGGTCAGCATTCATTGCTTTTGATTTTTGAATACATTTTAATGAAAATAGACAAATATTCCCAATTCCCAAAGTCTACTTCTACTTTGCCACGGATCCACACAAGACAAGACAAGAAAACAAAACATAAATCAGACTCTGTGTGGATTTGCCATTACATTTCAATTACATTATATAATAAGGGGTTCCATAGCTCAATTCCTCTTAATGGACAAAAATAATATTTCCATAATATTATAGTTTGTGTTATGTGTTTGAAACAAAGTAGATGCTCCACCCAAATGGTTCGGAAAAACTACTAACATACACGTGCGGGAAGTCGGACTAAAGTAAATGTATCTACTACTAACCGGGGGTGGGTCGTTTCTGTTTTTAGTGCGTTGTTTCTTATATTACAAAGAATGAACGTGTGCATGTTCAACAAATAAATCGATTTTTACTGTGGGCGTCTCTGGATATAGCGCTATAATTTTTCGTGTATTTGACAGTCAATCGGATTTATAAAACTTAATTAGTGTAAAAGAAACGTCGAAAGAAATTATTTTTAAGGTTTAATATTATGTTTGTTTCCAACAAAATGCTGATAACATTATTGTTGATTGATTGCATCTTTATATAATATATTACCCTCTAATTTTGTATTTTAACAGTTTATTATTGATTAATTAATTTATGTTAGAACAGATTCAAAATATACTTTAGATATATATATATATATATATGCTAAGACAGTAAGACATGCATATTGTATTTCGTTTTAAAATGTTATTAAACGTTCTCTAATGTTGTTAGTCTTATTAGTTATTAGTTTATTTTCATAATACATAATATTATATTATGCTAGTTCTTTAATATATTGCATTTGACATTTAATTATATTTTGGAATTTATATAAATACATGTCAAGGATTTTAAATAAAATAATTTACATACGTAATTATTATAATGACGTGTCTTGTGGACTACATTGAAAAATTAAATTGGACCAATATAAAATTCGGCCAAAAACGTACCTATCATTATTTATAATACATTTTTACAATTTTGAAGTATCATTATTCTTATGTTGGTAATTCAATAGTTATTTATTAATTGTTAATATAGATCTCAGTATAGGTAATATTTCAAAAAACATTCATCGTTAAGTTTTCGTATTCGCGTTTATGTAGGTATATATCATATTATTATAATTTATATGTATCTCTATAATTGCATTATGAAATAAATACACAAAAAATGTTCTTGTGGTTAGCTCCTAAAAATTTTAAAGCGCACGAAGAGTAATTGTTTGAAGTACCTAATTTGTTTTAGTATTAAGCTCACGTCTCTCACGAACGGAAATTCAGTACCTAATATGTTTTTGAAATATAGTTTATCGTGTAAACAAATGTTGTTCGACAATCGCTGTATATTTCGTGTACTATTAAAATGTTGTGTTTGAATTGTATGTATTAATATTTTGTTAACGATATTATAACCTTTAATTTCATACTTCTGCCGGTATTTTTTTTTCAATTTGGATCCGGAGAAATTTACATTCATATTTAAAGTTTAAAAATTAAACAAAATATGTGTTTGTTATTTTTTTACGTTGTTATACAGATGCCAGTAAAATAACTAAATTTCGAAATGTGTAAGTGTAGGTATTATGGATTGCATATTCTTCGAATCGTAATCAATACGTTCTCAATTCGACACTTTATCAAATAAAGTAATAAATAATAATTATTAACATTGATATCAGAGACATATCAAAAATTAATCCATTTGTTTTGTGTCACGGTAAAACGTGCTCGAACTCTCCGTGCAGGTCAATAAGAATACGTACTTACTACTTACTATTGATATTTTTGCTGCATGATAAATCGTGTGTAGACAAAATAATCCTAAGGAGATATTTTAAAATGTATATGTTGTGCGTGCACTTATGTTAAATTATTCAAATATTCGGTGTGCATCCGTAACGGGAAATCGTGTAGGTACTTCCGTTTCTTCAAACGTATGTACGATATGATAATCAGTATACAATATTATACGAACAATAGAGTAATAGACAAGTACAAGATGATTCGGTCTTTAAACAAAATGAAAGCATTTAAACATAAGATAAATATAAGATTTGACTTTAATGTTGTTTAGAGTAGTAGAGTACAGTACTAAGTACGGTACAGTAGTGCTATATTACTCTATAGTAAAATAGGTGGTAATAGTAGTTATAGTTATTGTGTTTAAATAATGGTATTGTAATTGTATGGTTTTAAGTTTGCAAGTGTTTTTACGGATTTCTATTATATTATTATGTTATCAGTTGTATTATGCTGTTGTCAATTAAAGTGGCCAAAAAATAAAAAATTACTACTTTTAAAATATATACTCAAGGACACTTTTAAAGTGTTAAAGAAAAATTTAAAAATTTCGTTTTAGAAAAATGCATACGTAATACGTAGGTGTATAAAAATAATAGTGTATTTCGGCTGTGCACGCTACGTAAATATTGTCTACGTATATAAATATAATAAAATACGTACATCATCCGCGCATTCATATCTATATATTTGTTTTGAACTTTGCTACAAAAGTTATTGTGTTATTTGCGTCGACTGTATTTTTTGTCACTATTCTGAAAGAGTTTTTGTATGAACTGCGGACCTGTTAATTTCTATTTTACCGATGCTAACAAAATGTGCTCAAATGTTCGAAATGTAATAAATATAAAAACTAATTTTATTTAAATTACTGCCTATTCTTTGATCAAAATCCAAACAATGCATATCATCTTAATATACATTCCGAACATTATAATAGAAATTTGTTTTGTAT